GCGATCTCTGCAGAAAGCGCAAATCCCGATGCACAGTAGACATTCCCGGCCAATCATGCCTGCTCTGCCGGGTTCAAGGTGCCGACTGTCATTATCAGGAGGAACCCCTTCCGGACGCTTCGGTCTCCAATGGCTCTGACTCTAAACGATGGTCTGTCGACCAGGTCAGTGAGGGCTTGGGTACGGGACACAAACGCAAGCGTACTCCCGATACTACTATCTCCTCTCCTAATCCATCTCGAAGGCGTGAGAGCTTCAGTCGGCCGCGTGCCTATTCTGATAGTCGCGGAACCGACCGCAGACGCAATGGAACAGAAGACCCCCACAATGAATCCGTCTTCATTGTCGGACCCGTGGTGGCCGACGATGCGCAGGTGATCGAGAAATTCATGCCCCCGGAAGAGCGATCCAGCAAGTCTGTGGAGCCAAAGAGTCACCCGTACAACGTCTACTCGAGCGATCCGCGCAAACCGATCCTCTACACCACCGTCTCCAGGCGGAGACAGGGTATGCGGGTCGGTGTTCCCCCAGGCGAAAACCAGAAGGAAATCCTTGAACAGATTCTTGGACCTTTCAAACATGATCTAGTCAGGCTGTATGTTTCTCTTCTAAGCCATCTGTCATGGTCTCCAATCGACTAACATATATCGCCAGTTTCCTGGATAGGTTCAACATAGCTTTCCCGATATTTGATGGAGAAAGCTTCTGGGAAGCATATATATCGGAGTCACCAGGCGAACCCCCGGCGTCGCTTCTCTGTCAAGTGTACTCCATGTCATTAGTCTACTGGAAGCACACGCCTAAGCTCGCATGCCATCCGAAACCAGATGTTCGGTATGCCGTGAACATGACGGTAGCCGCCCTCCACGAGGAATTCTCCGCACCTGGCCTATCAACGATCAGCGCTGCTCTAGTAGATTTGACCGGACGTCCGATCTTTTCGATGACGGGTAACGCCATCAGTTGCGGTCGACTTGTCGCACTAGCTCATTGCTTGGGCCTCAACCGGGACCCTAGCAACTGGAAGCTGTCTCCCCAGGAGAAGAACAATCGTATTCGTTTATGGTGGGGCGTTGTCATCCATGACCGTTGGTAAGCTCTTCCCCGTCTAGCCTCTAAATTGACGTAGATACTAACGCCCATCAAGGGGAAGCTTTGGACATGGAGTTCCTCCTCAAATCGCCAAGAATCAATACGACGTTCCTCTTCCGACCATCGACGTGCTGGTGCCACCAACGAGCCGCACCACAGAACGAGTGAGGGCAGCCCACTGTCACATCTGCCTTTGCCGGTTGACGGAGATTCTGGGAGAGTTACTGCCGCTTGTTTACGGTCTGCAGCATAGCCTACCACGCGAGACGACTAAAAAGCTGCGACAGATTCGGACCGACCTCGACATGTGGGAAGACTCTCTTCCTGACTGGCTCAGAACACCGGTGCACCATAGCTCAGAGTCTCGAGTGTCAGGAATCAGTAGCCTGCAGTTGTCCTTCCTGGCAGTTAAGATGCTGGTGAGCAGAGTCGAGCTCAAGGTACGTCGTTGTGAACTGCATATGTCCTTGCTCCAGGCATTGTGCTCTAATACGTCCCATGCAGGAAGTGAATAATGCCGAGACGGACAACCCAGAAGCCCGCCGGTACTTCCAGACCGAGTGTCGAAAATCAGCAGAGGAGATTGTGCGATTTATCTCGTCTCTGCGCAAGCAAAACTTTCAAGAATTCTGGCTACCATGTACGTCCACCTTAATTAGGATTTTCCCAACCCACCAAGCTCTTGATCTATCGTTCTATGCTAACCCTCCGTTAGACAGCGCATTCCACCTCACATCAACCGCCACGCTCCTCGTCCGCTGCGCACTAGAAACAACAGACAGCGAAGTAGCCCGCTCCTGCCTCGCAAACGTCGAAACATTCCGGAGCATCCTGCGCCGCGTCAGAGAAGAAGAAGACTGGGATGTCGCCGACATGTGCCTCGATCACTGCGAACGCATCCTCAACCGCCTCGCTGCCAACGGAGGCACCGCAGACCCGACCCTCAACCCCTCGACCGGTCAATACGACAACCGTATCGTGAATCCAGCAGCCATCTCGCTCCCTGTCTCGCTCCCTGAAACGCAAACCAACAACGATATCGTGGACGACATGATGTCTATCTCGGGGACATTTGGAACCATGGATGGTTTCCCCTTTGACATGACGGGAATTTGGGATGTATCTGTCTTTCAGGATGTCAATCTCACGTAGTACATACACGCATAATGTAATTGGGCTGAACTGAAGGGTGTGGGTGGATTTCTCTCTGTTTTTTTGAATTATACCCGATTGAAAGGCTTACGTGAGGTTGTTGGGCTTGTATTTAGCCAGCAATACCTGCTGATCAAAAGCTTGGAGGAACATACCTACTATTTGCTCCTTTGCAGAGTTGAGTGAGATTACTCCGTAGATACCTCGGCATTAAAAGAATTTTCCAATTTATACACAATAAGAATCAACCAATGCGCTATTTAACAAATACCCCCATGATGCTCAGGAGCCCAAAGAACCATCTAGAGATGAACCCCTCACCCAGACGAGGATTACGGATATACATTATAGGACAGAAGAGAAGGAATGGGTTTGCCACAGGTCGTCAAGCATTACAGCCGCAGACATCCTCTTACTGCTTACCAGCACCAAACATGCTGGTGAAGGAGCCCTTCATCATTTTCATCTGTTCCTGACGAGCCTTCTCCTCTTCAGCGGCCATTTCCGCAAGCCACTTCTCTCCATTCTCACGGATCTCCTTCTCAATCATCTCATAGTTCTTCTGGCCTCGTTCACGGATCTGGTCCCAGAGCATCTTGCCTTGAGCCAGGCCCTCAGATGGGCTCTGTTCGCCGTCCAGCGTGCGGGTAGACTTCAAGCCCAGAGCAGATGCCAGGCTGCCGACTCCACGCTTGGGCCGTCTCTTTTGCTCTTCCTCCATTTCCTTTTCGAACTTCTCACGCATGATCTTCTCGCGCTTGGCGAATTCAACAGGGATGGAAGTACCCTCGAATGATTTCAATACAGGGCGCACATCTTCGATACCCATACCGGCAATGTATTCAAGGAAGGGAATCAGTGCAACGAGGTTCTTGTCCTTGGGGTCACCAAGCCACTTGTCCAGAATGATGGCATTCTCGGGCTGCAGGCGCGCATGCTCCTCCTTGGTATCGATCAGGATCACCTTGGACAGATCGCGGTTCAGGTATGACAGGTCCTACAGATATGTTAGTGAGTTCTGTTTTAAAAGGCTAGGTCTGAGCTATCCTGGCCTACCTTGATGTATTCACCATCCTTGTACCTGGTAGCTTCTCTGAACAGTGGCCAACGGATGATACGGTAGGGGTCGAGCTTCCGGAGAACCTGATCCGCCATCATACTGGGGACACTAGTGAAGAGAACAAGCTCGTAGTACTGGTTCAGGTAACGAAGGAAGTAGTCGACACCTGGCCGCTTGGCAATGCGCCATCCGTGTTCACGGCTCCACTCACTATGCACAAGCAGATCCTCCAGACTGAGAACAAGCGTGTAAGGTTGGCGGAGATTGGGATCCTCATCAGGGAGCAGCTTCGGGAAAGCGGGATCCTTGTAGTAGCTGGTGATATCGCTCAAACGGGCCTTCATGCGGTTATACCATGACGAGAAGCTCCAGCCGGATGGAATGTCGGGGTGCGCCTTCGCTTCTTCTTCGGTCTCCCAGTTCCGTCCCAAGTAAGCCACTCCTCCAGCGCCAGCTAAGAGGAAAAAGGCGTACATCAAGTTGGCCATACGAGCCCTGCGGCGATCGAGCGAGGAGACGTAGCCATCCTTGGGAATATCGCCTCGGCCATCATCGGTATAATCTTCGGAACGCGAAGGGTCCTCTGTGAGATTCAACGAAGTCTGTCCAGATTTCTTCGTATGACCTTCTAATTCTGCGGCAAGAGTGGACGGGATACCCTGAGTGAGGTCAGGAAGCGGTTGTTGAGGTTTTGATTCGGTCTGCAGAGGATTCAAGAATTAGAGGAGTCTGGAACAGTTCAGAGAATCAAACGCTTACAGCTTCAGAAGCCTCCGGCGCAGCGTTCCCCGCTGGATCCGCCTTTGTATCGAACTCTGTTTGTTCCGCCGAGTATTCTGGTTTTGGAGTAGACGAGGGCTGTTCGGACTGCGAAGGCTTGACGGATTCTGGAAGCTTATAAGGAGCCTTGGGCTTAGTGCTCTTTGCGTACCATCGCGATTTCGGGACTGAGACAGCTGATACGCGGATAGTGGAAGTAAGGACGCTGGACCTCGTTAAAGGTAGTACAGCACGGCTAAGCATAATGACGATGAGAAGACGGAGCACCTAATAGTCAGAGATAAGAGAAGGCAGCGCACTCATGCTCCGCTTGGGAAGAATCCAGATAGATCTAATAAAGACAGACAACCAGCTGATCAGATGGAAAAAGTTGCCTGTCCTGATAATTGGCATATGATTAGAAGTTGTCTCGTTCCAGAGGACCTTCAGAAAAGTTGGAAGCGCTCGCATACGGCGGGCGGCAGAATCCATTAACGCAGCCCTTTCCACCGGTCTTAAAATCCGCCATCTTCCGCCAACTTTGGTACTTCTTCTCTTCTTCTTCTTTTCTTCTTCAGTTTTGAAAGTTGATTCAACCCAGATTAATTTGACCCAACAAGCTCTCATATCATGCATGCCGGGTTGTATTAGCTGGGAAGACTGAAGATTCTCTTCTATCCCACTCCCAAGAGCCGCAGCAAAGGTTTCCAGTGAAGCTGCAGCCCCGTTCGTGGGATACAAATATTTCTTTCCTCGCAAGATATATCTGGCCTCTAATGTATACTCCCTTCAGGAGCTCTTGTTCCTTAAGAAGTGACTAATCCTCAGTTAAGTACAAAAATGGCATGAACACAGAATTTGACCTAAGGCCATTCTCCTTCCCTTAAATATCCACAACGTACTTGTACCTAGCCTCGGGCTTCCATTATCTGCCAACATGGATTCCCTCTCAGATGCTTTTGGGAAGGTAAAGATCGAGGGCCCGCCACCCGAACCCGATACAAGTGAGAATCAAGAGGACGAGGACATCCTGAAGGAGGAGTCCATTCCTCCAACGCCCTTTCGCTTCCTCGATCTTCCTTCCGAGATTCGTCTGCGCATATATGACCTGGTTCTATTCACACCTTATCGTTTGAAACCGCGGCGAGCCAATGGAAGTGTAGGCGCCTCAGCAAAGAATCCTCCCATCGCTCCCTTTCGGGTCCGTGTCGCTCTGTTCCTCGTGTGCCGGCGTATCCACGATGAGGCTACGGATTATTTCTACTCTGCGCTGACTTTCCGCCTGTTCCCAATTCAGGATTGGTCCCGCACGCCAACTGTCAGAGCTTTGCCAGCAAGACACAAGGCGTCCGTGAGGACAATCGAGCTGATTCTGGGCTCCAGTTGGACCTCGCCTCCTCGGGAGTGGGTGGTGAACAATCGGTTGGGGCTGGAAAAGATGGTGTGCGTTCGAACGTTGAAGGTGTTCCTTGAATGCGATCCATCGCATCCTGTTTTTGAAGGCTTTCGCATATCTCCAGGCTTCTACACCGATTTTGCGGGCAAGATCCTCAAGCAGGTTCTGGAGAGATTGCCCCATGTGATACAAGTGGAATTTGATGGTTACCCATCTGTCTCCAAAAGCGGAAGCCTAATGAAGCGCCTGGTACATGAGGCGAGGGCAGCTCAGAAAAAGATTCTCTGGGGACCCGAGCGAGGATGGACAGACTGGGATAGTGAGGGTGAACAAAAACCGAATCAAGTGGAATTTGAAGAAGCCGACTGCCAGAATTCAGTGCAATAAATAGTGACACAACGTCTGGCTAAGGATTTTCTCGAGGCGCAGTGGACCTTGGACCTTTCACATAGAAGTCAGGTGGATACGCTATATAATTTCCAATAGTTTGAGGAGAGCACTTGGCGTTGTGCAGCCCTAACAGGCTGAATCACTAGCATGGCGTTCGGGGTTGTATAACTACACATTATTGCTCTGCACATTGTTGTTTCAGCGCATTCTCTCAACCATTCATACTATATCAAGCATCATTTATCTATTTGTAATTTCATCTCTTCAGTCCATAGAAGTCAAGCATAGAGCTCCAGAACATAGGGGGAAAAAGTCGGTTGGCATTCCTCATCTTCCTCTGGAGCGTATCTATAGTTCCTCGTCCACATCCATGCCCGTCCCCTCTTGAGCTCCCTTTCCGCTGGACAAACGCGCCACCGAAGCCTCCTTGTCAATCATCTGCCGCGATACCGCAACGATGTTGTCTTCGATCAGTTGCTGGCTCACATCTTCAATGTCTGTAAAGATGGTTAATAACAAGCAAACCAAGGAAAGACAGGTGTAGGACTTACGCTTCTTGGGGTCAACCTTTCCAACATATCGCGTCTTGAGTTGCTCCTTGGTGAGCTCTGTCTCCTCCTTGACTCGCTTCTCGTAACCTTCAGCAAGGCTCACTAGCTGCTTCATCCGCTCCACGTTGTGCTGGCCTTCCTCATGGAAGTCGTTCATCTGCAACGCCTCTGTCCACACGTGCTTATGCAAGTTCATCAGCATGTTCTCCTCCAGTCCCGTCTTACGATAGTTGATAGCGATGCTGTAGTAATGTCTGTTCAATCCGTGGATGAGCGCCTGGATTGATGGCTTGTTCAGATGACCCAAATTGGATGTCGTCTGCCGGGGCTCCTGGCCCATGACGACCGTCTGAGGCTGGATTAGTCGGAAGGCATCAATGACAACCTTTCCCTTAACAGATTGAATCGGATCAACCACAACTGCGACAGCTCGGGGAGTGAGCTGTTCGAATGACTGCTGAGTGTTGATGTCCACGGACGAAAGCCAGCAGCCAAAACCAGGATGGGAGTGGTACCATCCAACGACTGTTTCCGGCCTGCGTTTTGAAAATCTATCAGCGGTGCAACTTTCAAACTTGCTTCGCCCTGCCGAGACCTACCGTCCAGTTTGCCGAAGCATCTCCATCATCTTGGTCTGAAAAACGGGGTCCACGGCCTCAACACTGACACCAGTACCGCTCTGGGGCATGGCAAAAACATCAACCACACGAACTGTGTATTCATCGACGAACTCTCCCAGCATCAGGCCCATGACTTCCATAGGCACACCTGCCCGACCATGTCTTAACATCTTCAACAAAGCTAGTGATGAAATGTGTACAGTCTCGGAGTTATCGATCAGGTTCGGGGTGTCCTGTAAAAAGAAGCATAGTGTCAGCAATCATAGTTCTCAGGGACTTGATGCCATAAATGATCTATATTCGACTATTGCAGAAGCCTATGTAGAAGACCTTGGATAGATGGTCACGAGTGACAGAGATGCAAAGCGTGAATGACGCAAAGGGCCGACTTACACCACCTGGAGCCGCGCTTCCCATACCCATGCCCTGGGCGGCCTGAAGCATCCGATTGAGTCGGTCCATGGTGACTCAAAGACTCTGAAAGAACTGGGGACAGAATGAAGAATAGCTTCCTCTATGGAAGCAATGACGGCGCGACAGTCGGTCGGCGACACACAGGCAGATTTTCTGTTGCTTGGAGGCCGAAATGAATAGAAGTCAATGGAATTAGATGTTAGGTAGCCGGTTGAAGAAGGTGAGATTAGATGGAGAAAAAGGATGATTGTAGAAATAGAACGAGCCAGTTGGTGATGCTCCAGAGAACTAACCGTGACCAGAGCTCAAGATCCAGCGAGCCTGACGGAGGCGGTGGGAGCAGCTCTTCCGTCTGGTCTCGGTCTCCCGCTCTGGCCTCTGCGGCCTTTGCTCGGCCTCCCCTTCGCTTCCTCCATCACTTATAATTTCCCCAGCCGGCAGGACGGAAATCCATCGCAGCACCATAACCTTTGATATTGCTCTGTCTTCTCATATCAGGGCTGGTGCATTTTTTTCATCAGAAATCATCTAACTCTAAAGACCTCTTCAAACCTTTGGCGCAGTTCTCTTGCGTTATCATCACCCCATCTTGAGCACTTCTATAATCGATCCGAGCCATATCACTTTGCCATCTCGCGACGTCTCTCACATAATTATACGCGGTTCTGAGTGAAGAATACCTGTGCATTTATGCACAGTCTCATTTACAATGGCTGCTCCTCCGATTGACCTGGATCTGAATGGCTCCGGTGATCGCAGCAAGAAGGTTGCGTACTTCTACGACTCGGATGTAGGTAACTACGCCTATGTTTCAGGGCATCCGATGAAGCCGCACCGTATCAGGATGACACATAGCCTGGTTATGAACTATGGCCTCTACAAGAAGATGGAGATCTACGTGAGTGTTCACGGACTTTCAAGGCTAGGTTCAAGCAGAATACTAATGGGTTATCGGCGCAGCGTGCGAAACCAGCCTCAAAGTATGAAATGACACAATTCCACACCGACGAATATATCGACTTCCTTTCAAAAGTTACACCAGACAATATGGACCAGTTTTCCAAAGAACAAGGCAGGTATAACGTTGGGGATGACTGTCCAGTTTTTGACGGGCTGTTTGAGTTCTGTGGTATCAGCGCTGGAGGCAGCATGGAGGGTGCGGCGCGCCTCAACCGCAACAAATGCGACATCGCTGTGAACTGGGCTGGAGGTCTCCATCACGCGAAGAAGAGCGAAGCGAGTGGTTTCTGCTATGTGAATGGTAAGCTTATCTTCCTGGCGGCGATTGTCATTGTCCAACGACATCTTCTCACTTTTTTACAGATATCGTTCTTGGTATCCTCGAGCTGTTACGATTCAAGCAAAGAGTCCTTTACGTCGATATCGATGTCCACCACGGCGACGGTGTCGAGGAAGCGTTCTACACAACTGACCGCGTCATGACTGTCTCATTCCACAAGTACGGAGAATACTTCCCGGGAACTGGCGAGCTTCGTGATATTGGAGTGGGACAGGGCAAGCACTATGCTGTCAACTTTCCACTTCGCGATGGCATCGATGACATTTCGTACAAGAGTATTTTTGAGCCCGTTATCCGAAGTGTCATGGAATGGTACCGCCCAGAAGCTGTCGTCCTTCAATGTGGTGGTGACAGTCTCTCGGGTGATCGGCTAGGTTGTTTCAACCTGAGCATGAGAGGCCACGCAAATTGTGTGAACTTCGTCAAGAGCTTCAATTTACCGACCATGATCCTCGGTGGCGGTGGTTACACAATGCGCAATGTTGCGCGGACGTGGGCGTTTGAGACTGGGATTCTGCTAGGGGACAGCCTAGGTCCAGAACTCCCTTACAATGACTATTACGAGGTGGGTCCATACTGGTTTGAATGCTGAATGCCCGCAGATTGCTAACAAGATACCTTAGTACTTTGCACCGGACTACGAGCTGGATGTGCGTCCGTCGAATATGGACAATGCCAACACGAAGGATTATCTCGACAAGATCCGAGCTCAAGTGGTGGAGAATCTCAAGCGGACGGCTTTTGCACCCTCTGTGCAGATGACCGACGTACCTCGCGAACCTCTTGTTGAAGGCATGGACGATGAGGCAGACGCAATCCTCGATGACCTCGACGAAGACGAAAACAAGGACAAACGCTTCACGAAACGACGATTCGATCAGTATATCGAGAAGCCTGGTGAACTCAGCGATAGTGAAGACGAGGAAGAGAATGCAGCAAACGGAGTTCTTCGCAAGCCTCAATCGCTGAAGCGCAGAAACCAGATCAATTATCGGAATGTCGACCTGGACTCCGGGCTTGATAGCGGGGTTGCCACTCCTCAAGATGCCTCGTCGGTCCCGGATGACGAGATGGACACCACTGCGGATACGAAAATGGCCGAAGCACCTCTACCCGAGTCTGATGTTCCACCCTCGCCATCCGCCGCCGGATCAACTTCTAGGAGAGACCAGAAAGCGGCTGCAGAGCCTACTGAGATGGCTGTTGATGGACCAGAGGAGGTTTCCGCTTCCGCTGCTGCCTCCCGCCAACAATCACCGAAGCCGCAGGATGAGGACACTACGATGGAAGACGCAGCCGTGCCTGTCCCTGAAACTGAGCAGTCGGAGAAACCAGCGTTGCCAGTTGAGGGACAGGAAGAGGAGAAGAAGCAAGAGACACCGGCTCCAGAAAAGGCAGCCCCAGAAGCTTCATCTCCCGTCAAGGCTTCGCCTATTCCAGGCGAGAAGGACGTCTCGGACAAGCCAGAAACGAATGATGCAACGGAACCGGTAGAGGTCAAGGTCAAGGAGAAGACTCCTGAGGCCCCTACCGATCAACAGGCTGTGAAAACCGAGCAGGGGACTTCTGAGGAGGCCAGTGAAAACAAGGCAAGCAGCCAACCCACAGAAGTAAGAACAAATCAGCAGCCCGAGGAGCCTGAGAAAGGCGGGGAATGATGTTCTGCTCTCTGTCTGTGAAGGCGTCCATCCACTGGAAGTTTCTGGCGTAACAGGGCAATGGTAGTATGGTGTTTCGGGCTCTCGAAATCATTGCATATGTTTTATGAGGTGGCCTTTTTATTTTCTTTACATTCTGGTGCTAGTTTTTGCTTCTTTCTTGAGCAAGATATGGTTCAATATGACATTACTTCCTTCACTCTTCGCTAGCATGTTACGTTTCATCCACCAATCTCTCTTGTATACTATCTACAGTTGGCGTTGACTCTGATAATACAGGGTCTGCACAGATCAGTTATTATCTATCAATACCAAATAAATTTAAGAAGTATATGAAAACATTTATGTCTTGCTTTCAGTATCGAGCAGTAATAGCAGCTATGGACTTCGTGATTAACTAACTAGTTAAACCATCCTTCACCAGGAGCAGTTAGGTAATCACAGACTAGCTCTATTCAAGCTTAGCATTAGGGCACGCTCTGTTTTCCAAGGCGGGGCAGAAGAGCCAATGGTGAACAAGCGCCAAGATTTTACACACGACGCACACTAAGCGAGAGCTATTCGAAACCCGAACCGCTGTGCAAACCCTCGACGTCGCCCAGATCCCTCTCGACCTCCGTCGCCCTTTCGCCCTTTTCCCAGTATCCGACACCGACTACGTGATACCTAGCCAAGATGTCTAAGAGAGGGTGAGTCACAATGCTTCTTTTCCGGGTTTTGCGGGAGCGCTGCGCGATGGAAAAAGAGCGCACAGGATGTGGACGGTTCTTTGATGGCTGGAGACCAACAAGCGTGAGGTGGATTATCGTTGAAATAAGAGGAGGAACTGAAGAATCTGCAAAGGGTTTTTTGGGGAGCGGCATTTTTGAGAGAAATCGCGCTTGGGTCTAGGGGATATTGAAGATTTTCACGAAGGGCCAGATATTGAAGGAATGAAATGCTGACGATTGAATTCTGAACAGTCGTGGTGCCGCCTCCGGCAACAAGCTCAAGATGACCCTTGGTCTGCCTTGGTACGTTATTGCAATTCCTACCCTACCGAGTCGAACACGATTGTGGAAGTGACCTGTGTCCATTGTCTCCTTGGAGCCTACACAACCCGTCATTCATCACGAAAAAAGCCCACCTACATCTCCGTCAACCACCAAATCAACTCTGCCCGTCAAACGTGTTCGACTCATCAGATAGGAGGAATCATAGACTAACATGTTATTTCGTGATATAGCGGTGCCGTGATGAACTGCTGCGACAACTCTGGTGCCCGTAACCTGTACATCATCTCGGTCAAGGGAATCGGTGCCCGCCTGAACCGTCTTCCCGCTGCCGGTGTCGGTGACATGGTCATGGCCACCGTCAAGAAGGGAAAGCCCGAGCTCCGTAAGAAGGTCATGCCCGCCGTTGTCGTCCGTCAGAGCAAGCCCTGGAGAAGACCCGACGGTATCTACCTGTACTTCGAGGACAACGCTGGTGTGGTGAGTACACCTTTTTTCCCTTTTTCTGGAGCGGCGGTTACGATTTGCACTCGTGATTGCGGGATATGAACGAGGCCGTTGCTATCAGCTATGACAGGTTCAGGAATGAATGCTAATCGCTCAACCTATTTCAGATTGTCAACGCCAAGGGTGAGATGAAGGGATCCGCCATCACCGGCCCCGTCGGTAAGGAGGCTGCTGAGCTCTGGCCCGTAAGTTCCCTGTTATTTTCGAACACATCCTCCGGTTAAACGCGCGGGTACTAACCCTCGGTCCAATAGCGTATTGCTTCCAACTCCGGTGTCGTTATGTAAAAGAATCAATACAAAAAGGCGTCGTGACATTAGGAAGTCAGGGAGAGATAGAAGCAGCGATACCAGGGAATGAAATCATCTTTTTTTTCAGTGCACATGACACAAAGCCACGAATCTGCATGAACGGGTCCGATCTCATCTAAAGCCGCCCATCTCTTTCCTAAATGACGTGTCTCTCTATTGTTTCTTCTACTGGCGATTCGGAAATACAAAAAATGTTCAAAATCGTTTCCTTTTCTTGATATCTTGCCAGTATGCTTCTACCGTGACCGAGATGACTGCGAGAGATCCTGCGGCAGGCTTCATTCGAGAGACAAGTAATGGAGTCGAAGCACTGCTGTCTCTATCCTGTTGCAACCACTTGCTCTGGGATGCTTCGAACAAGTCTAATTCTAGAACCTACACATTACAGACCCTGTGTTCTAAACGTAGACGTGACCAGATTTATTGACATGTTTTCAAAAATCGAGAAAAGAAACAGCCAATGGTATGTACATAAAAATTAGTATGGTACAGAGAAATCCAACTCGAAGAAGCGGAAAAGCAAGTCGCTCGCTGCTGATGCTAACCTTCAAAATATCCGAGATCCGTCTATGACTTGACTTGCGGACCTTTCGTAGAGACAGACTTTGTCGTTTGTCGCTGTCGCTTGAGTCCAACGGTTCTAGGCAAAAGAGTATATACCAAAAGAATCAAGACGGTCACGATGTCGATCCCATGGATCGCCCACCAGATATGCTGGACTCCGGCCTTGCACATGGTGATCTCATACTTCCATCCGTTCACGGCCGGGTTGGTGTCAAACCAGACGGAGAGGAGACCTGCGTTGCCGCCGTAATCGCCCATCATGGCTCGGAGAGTGACTTCGCGAAGGGAGGGCGTATCCGATCTATCCTCTGGGACTCCACTATAGCGTCTTGCGTCCCACTTCCACGTTTGCTGGGTTATATCGTCCCCGCTATCTGTCGGGGTCGACCAGTTGACGAAGTGGACGACGTCACATCCGGTGTGGTCGTGGCCGTTGAGGATGAGCCCATTGCGGCCCCAGCCTCCTCCTGGAACACCTTTGTCACCGCTCATCCCGTATATCCCTTGGAGGACGCCGATGGCGCTGAGCTGCTCGCTCAGATGGTTCTGCTCCCGTAGTCCTCCCTCCTTGAAGCGGGGGATACCATCTGGCCCGTCTTCGTCGTCGGACTCGTGGTAGGTAAAGAGCGGTCCGTCGGTGCAGATGCCCTCCTTCTTATGTAGCGGCAGATGGGTTAGGAGAAGCGTAAAGGTTGTCCGATCTTCGACGGGGTACGTGCGATGGGTGATTAGATCGTTGATGAAGGCGTAGCTGTTCGACTGGACTTGTTCGGATAGGGCTGGCCCGTCCAGCGTCAGCGTGTTGAGGTTGATCAGGTGCAGGGTAGGCTTGACAGCAGCGTCTGCCGCACCACCAGTTTGGTTCTCGAGGGTATGCTGAAAGCGAATATCCCAGTTCGCGCGCCCAAACATGCGCTCGAATCGCTCAATCCGCTCCTCGCTGGCGTCTCCCGCATACCCAATATCATGGTTCCCAACAACGTTGATGACCCTCCGCCTCCAAGCCGAATCCGTCGCATTCAGCTCCTCCAACGCAGACACATCCCCAGAGCCTGTTCCATACCCCGCCGACCCGGTAACCGTAATCTCATCACTGACCCGCTCGCCCCCTCTGAACACCCGATTCCAGTACCTGTCTGCCCTCCGCTCAAACTCCTCATCGGTAACCCACTGGCTTCCAATCAGATCCCCCAGCACCGTGACATGCGTAGGACGTGTCCACCAATGCAGCGTACGGTATATATGCGCGAGATAGAAATCGTTCCCGAGTAAATCAAGTCGCTTTCTCGCGGCCAGAATCGAGCGCGGAACGTCTTCGTGCGCGAGTGTGCGAAGCGCGGCAGTTACGTTGCGTAGGACATCGCGGTGGAAGGGCGACCCGGACTCTGTTACAGATGACCTGATTGCAGTCCAGTGCTGCTTGATCCGGGCGGGGAGCTCTTCGTCCGGACTAGGGAGAGAGCTATCACCTTCTAGCTGGGGGTCTGCGAGAACTAGCAGCCTGAAGACCGCTGGCTCGCTTGCGGGCTGCTGTCCGATGTGTTGCGAAAGGGTGTAGAACAGTGGACTATGCGCGGGACTGAACGCATCAGGTGGGCGCTCATTCTTGTTGACTGGAAGTGGAAATGCGCAACCCTGGAAAATCGGATAGAGGTAGAGGTAGAGACTGGACGTTATTGCGAGTGGAACGAGCACGACAAGGGCGCGGAATAGGAGAAGGCGGAGGAGGGACATGGGGACACGACTGGGAGGTGACCGCGCATTGGCGTGGATATTTGATTTATACGGGCTATAAAGTCATGAGATCATAAAGCATGCAAACAATTGATTTTTAGAAATCGGCGCGACGAAGAAACGGAGGTGAAGACAAAATGTTTAAGGGGATCCGAAGTAGTTGGAGATTCGATCGAAGAAAGTCCGCGTAGTTTAGACAAAATTATTACCGCAGCGAATAACAAATAAACCGAGCCACCATGACAGGATCATTCCAAGGTCTACACGCACCGCGCTTTGCCATTTAACGTAAGAAGATTATTTTTATTAAAAGAACATTATGGTGTTCATCGAAGGTATACAAATGAAAAGAATTGAAAAGATGTCATTCCGGGTTTTCATCATGTTCTAGCCAGCAACAAACACCTTGAACCTCATGGTATATCCGCGTATTCCTATGCCTTCAGAACACCCAGCAGAAAGAGGTTTGAAGCAGATAAAGCAAACTGCCATAATCTCAAACTCGAAGGAGGTAGGGTTTTCGAAAAGAAACAAGAAATCAGATCAAAAGGGGGTATATCACATAACGCCAAACGGGGTGAATAGTCTTGCAGCAGGACAGCAAGCTGGTAAACTTGCCTCATTAATCGGATTTCAAAAGAGTCTCTGGTAGCAGAGACGATGGCCCTGTATCGAGACCACCAAGAGAGTTCGGGGAAGCAGGTTCGTCTTCCTTATTCTCGCCGCTTGCGGGCGCTTTGTCGACTTTTAGGCCTTGGATTCGCAAGCCGTTGTTGCGCTTCTCTTCTTCCTTGGCCTCTTGTAGTTCTGACTCAGTCATCAGTGCAGGAGGTCGTTGGTTCATCATCCGGGCCTGCTTCAAGCTGACTGTCTTTTGCTTGTTCGTTGTCTCGACGGGCAGGCTCATATCACGCTCGATAGTTGCCTTCATCAGCGCAGCCATCCATAGTCGACCTTCTCTGACACTGTCCACTTGGAAGTAATGTACCGCGGGTTTGGTGAATTGTACGGTACGGGATGTCTTGGGAGGCACAAGCTTGAAAAAGAACGGCCCCTCTGGATCCAGCTTGGAATTGCGAGAGGAAGGTGAGGTGGACGACTTGTCCGCCGACGAAGTGTCAGCACCGTTGGAAAGAGAGGGTGATGTTGGCGATGCCGTGGCGCCGGTGATAGTTGCATGCAAGGCGACAATGGGATCGTTATCTGCTCGTAGTACACGATGAGCGGTGATGTCAATGAGGCCTCTTTCCTCGGTGTCGTTCTCAGAGTAGTAGTACGACAGACGGCGGCCACGTAGGACAAATAGGCGAGGTTTCCACGTAGTCATGAGATTTGATGATCGCTTCTTCATCCACCCGGAGTAATCACAACCGTCCATTTGCTCTTGCGGTGTCTTCTTCTCCAGGCCTCGCATATAGGCGCTGGTGTCTTTCTTGGATTTTGGGCCCGCCTTGACGGATGCCCTTGGACGCGGCAAAGATATGCCTCCCTCTGCGTTCTTGATTGAGCTTTCAGTGCTATGCCTCTCAGAACTCTTCGACGTCGACGGTGTAGTAGAGCCGGTTCTGACCGAAGCTGGATCGGTATCTCTAACGGGTGAGGCAGGCGCGACAGAGGTGTCGATACCCTTCCCGACAACATCGGATATGATACGGAGCCCACCGGTGCGCCGTGTTTTGGGCCCACCACTCTTGCTCTGAGAGAAGGACAAGGAAGATGCACGTCCTGACCCTTCAGCATCCGACTTTCCCACAAAGGGGGCAAGCGGTGCAAACGATGAAAAGAAGCCAGAGCTAGAGCCAGGCTTCTCTGTAGAAGTTGTGGTGGTGGAAGACTGCGAAGTTGGACCGCGTCGGTCAATCACTCGAGTGCTCAGGCTTCTAAATCGGCTTTTCGGTGCTGCAGTAGTCTGAACGTCCGCCACAGCAGCAGGAGGAGCTTGCTTGGCCGTATCTCGGATTGAGTCAACGCTGGAGATGCGGGAATGTCGCTTGTTGACTTTCAATTTATCATCGGCGTAACTAGGTTGCCGGGAATGAGTTGCACTTCCAGTCACGGAGGTCCGTTTCTGCAACAGTCTCCTGTTCTTCGTGGTATCTCCTTCGGGACCCGAGAAGTATCCCCGTTCTAGCTCATCATACCGATCGGTCACGGAGACCGCAGAGTCAGACTCGTTGGTATCCGGGCGCCGGAAAGTGTGTTGGGGAAGTACTCCTTCGTGATAAATGGGGTAAGTGCCTGAGCGAGAGGGGACCCGCTGTGATCCGCTGGCCATAGTCCAATTTCTGTCAAATGAAGACTGCTTAAAATGACCAGTGTGAGGCGACGTATCCACGCGGTGCCCTGTGTCTATGGAAGAATGACGACGGTGGTGATTGATCTCCCGGATGGACGCTGCTGAAGGTCTTCTTTGATGATCCATGAAGTTGGGAGTCTGCGGAGTCATAGGAGAACTTGTGGTACTCGATATCCCGCTACTCACGAGCCGTGGATGCTGCATGGAGCCGGCCGAGCCTCTTGTAAGGTGAGGGATGCGGGGAAGAAAAGGGCCAGTGTGGCTGGCACGGCTGAGAGACCTTTCTTCCGACGGCGCAGGATAGCTGGAGGTAGAGCCCCGTTGCTGCTGCTGTTGTTTGAGACCCTTGACCTCCTCTTGGAAAGCCTTGACTTTGTGCCACGTCTTCAACCGACGACCCATGACGCCGAAGTCAAACTCCTTCATAAAGAGAAAATCCTGATCCATGTCCAGTAGCACATCACCGGTTATCTCTTGCTCCTCGAATATATCGCAGTGTTTCGCCTCGACTCCCAGTTCACGTAAATGCCTCGCTGTCTCAGCTGCATCCCAGCTCCGCACTTGCTCCTCGGTCGGCTGGTTTTCCTCTTCTTCATCGGTTTCATGGCCCCTGATGTAGGAGACTCGATGTTCAAGATGGCTGCTATATTCGCTCGAGGAATCATTATTTGCTTTGTTTTCGTGATTGGCCACGCTATGACGCGGGGTGCTCAGGTCGGTTATGTGCTCATCGATAACACTCAAGGTTTCATTCATAACCGGGCTGTCCTGGCCTTTCAATTGACCGTCTAGGGTCTGTCTGATCGACTGCTGAATATCGACGGCGAGTCGCGAAATGGGCAAAGGAGATGAACTTGACCGGTGCTGCTGGTTGGGGGAAGGCGTCATGGATGATAGGTCCGTGGCTACTTCTGGCGGTTGCGTCTCCGATATGCTAGCGTGTCGAGATGCCTGTGGCGTAGATTCTCCGCTCTTAAGCGAGGCAACCAATTCAGACGAGAGCTGGTCCTCTGCTGCCGGTTTGGGGTCGTCCAAATCAATCATATCCTCTCTCGGCGGTCGGATAGGGATCTTCGGGGCGGCAGTTGTGTAAACTAAATCAAACGACCTTTATTAGTTATGATCACAACGACTAGCTTGTTCCAAAAAATGAGAGCATACCACCAGGGAAAAGACCGGTTGTCCCTGTTCTCACATCTTTTCCCAAATACCAACCATCGCCGAAGCCTTCGTCAAGTTCTATCAATTCAATTTTCTCCCCTCGTCGCAAAGTAAGCTCATCCGTTCCACGCGCGTCGAAGTCATCTACAGACCAGCCAGGTCAGTTATCGTGATGAATACTGTCAAGCCTGATCGACCGGCGAGCGGGGGTAAATCGCGGCAATTCATGCGACCGGGGCAAGGCAAAGTATCTACTTACGGACAACGAGCAAAAAATCACCCGGGCGAACGCCGCGGGGAGGTGTGGAGAGAGCCATCGAAGAACCCTCAATCGTTCAACAATTCAAAGAAGCAAGGTGGGGTTGTCCGTCGTCAGAGCAGGAGCGGCAACAGAAGTGGTAGCGGAAGGATTGCGCAGGACATGGGGCCAAGCAGCCCTCTCGGGTAAACTGGAAGTTAAGTCTCTGAGGCCCGAGTGAGAGATGGATTGCGCTTCTTTCCCTTTTTCTCTTCTAATATTATTTTGTTTGGCGGAAGGAGGGCGGGGCGTCCTCAAGCGGTCTTGAAGACAGAGAGGGGGCTCGCGAACGGAATGGCAGATGACGATGCGCTTGCGTTCAGGAATGCGACAGCCACGCGAAGGCACCACCGCCTTGAATCAGGTAAGGCCAGGCCGTCTGGAATCTAGGTAAACCCGAGAAGAGAAGAATGAACTTAGGGAAGATCCAAGACAGGGACAGGAAAACGGCGGGGCCGAGAAAGCGGGCGCAAATTGGAGCGAGGCTCGAGATTGGCCCAACACTGCACTAGAGATAAGTTTGACAGTCTTAGTTTTCAAGTACCTAATACCTTTCTCGAGATCAGCATAGGGTTGGCGAAAAGTGAGCGGGACAACCCGTCGTTCTATATCTCGCTCGATTCACTTGGTCGACCGAAAATAGAACAGAACACAAGGGACAAAATTAAGCTTCAGTTTGCTCTTGCTGGGGGGTTCACCAGGCGGATAAGCAAACCAGCGACGATCCCAGGGTCATGTATGGACTCAATATGGCCAGAACGCTAAGGAGTGGGAACGGGCGCCAAATGGGCGGCTGCACGAGCGTCAGGTCTTCCAGCTTTCCCGTAGTACTCTGTACTCCACGTCAAAATTCCGGCGTCCGGTACTGTGAAACTGGATGAGCGGATATTTGATTATGCTGAATGGTGAATATCCGCGGTGGACGGGGTCTCGATGATGGCGAAGGTGACAAGTGGAGTTGACGAAAGTAATAATAATGGCCTAAGAGTTCGATGCTTGGCGCTTGCGGTCTTCAGAGCGTCGGCCGTAAATAGCTAAATTGATTCGACTCACTGCTCCAGTGCTCAGTCGTCCCAGAGGAGCTGTTTTGGACAGAACACTCGGGGGAGAAGCTCGACTTCTGAGTCAAATCGATGGACGGAAGCTAGAGATATACGAATAGTGGTAACTCCTGAGGCTCGACCAGGTTGATGATCGTGGAATTGCGACTTGATGATGATGACGAAGATGTGATAGATGGAAGTGGATGACTGGAGCCAACAGAGGAGAGAGATACCTCACGAGGAACAGGTGTACATACTCTACTATGTAAGTGGATCTCAGGACAGACAATCTGGGCAGTGTTATTGTATCTACTGTGATCTCCCGGAGTGTCTACTCGAGCGAAAATAATGAGTAGCAGCAATAGTCCCTCTTTTGAGTTCGTCTTCGGCGCAAGGAGTCGATTCATATACTTGGATGTGTATGTGTGTGCGCTCCCAGGTATGTACGCAAACTAGAAGTACTAGTTATTTGGTGGGGGGGGGGTAGGGGGTAGATCAGAAAACGACCCATCTTTAAAAACAGCCTTGAATACTATGTATCCAAATGAGAGGATGTCAGACTGCTATCTTCGACAGTCAGCGTTTAAATGATTTATTACATGATGTCTAAGGTATCACCTCAGCATCTGTATAAGCATCACCGATTGGACTGAATACAAGTCTCGAGACCCGTATATAAGGCAATTCGAATTGGCCACATTTGATTTATTGATGAATCTCAGGCTATGATGGGAAGCGAGGGTTTGTAATAGTCTAACCCTTGGATAGACCTCTGGTCGGTCTAGGGGTCTGAAGGTAGAGTGCCCTTGGTACGGAGTAGACTGGTCCCTTCGAACTAGGTATATTAGGTAGCTGTATCCATCATTCTTGATTCTTGGACTGTGAGCACAGTTTGTCTACCCCTATATACTATATAAAGGACATGCTTAATGCAGCTGTCTACTTCGTACGGCGTATGGATATTTGTTTCATGCCTGTATTTGCCCGAGATCCCTCTGCAGGTACCTCTGAAAGTGCATGGAAGGGCTGTTTCCATAGTGATATTGCCACAGAGGTACAGTAAAGGAAGTGAGTGGATAGATAGAATATAAGCATTAAGACGTTGGTCATATTACTATTCTAGACCTTCTTTCTTTCACTTTTAATAGCTATCACTTCTCTGACACCTGTGAGTTAATAGCGATTAGGAAGTAATTACCCTACTTATAGCTCTATATCCAGTACCTTAGGTAGTCACTACCTTACCATCCAACTACCCTTCCTTATTCACTACTTCCTCTGTTTCTTTATCACCCTTTTCTTTATTCTACTATTATAAGACTAAACCCGGCCCCAGCTTCCTTAAGTATTTCACCTAGGTTAATTACTTCTATATTTCCCTCTTGATTAGATCTCTAGGTCCCTGTGCGGACACTCATATCACCATCCTAGCTGGTCCTGGAACAAACGGCGTTTCCTTGGATCTGTATGGACAACAACAAACGGTGAGGGGATCACAGATAAATACACCTCCACGTTGTTAATCTACCACAAGGACGACTCCTACTTGTTGCTTTATTTTATTTGATAGAAATAAAGCGAAAAAAAACATAACCAAAAGAAAAAGGATTCGTCGCTTAGGGGGAAACGATAAACCATGTTTGCCCTTCACCATGAGTCCTTCAACCACCAAGAATCGTCCGCACTTGCCTAATAATCCGCATCACCAGCTGGAATGGTCCAATTTGACGGCAAACTTATTCCTGGGCGGTGTTGGGGTGCGGAGATCGTGGATGTTGGGTGCTTCATCTTCTGTGTCAATCAGCTCTGCTTCTGCTGCTGCTACCGTCCCTCCCGATTCATCCTCCCAGTCTTCACTTGCTGTTGACTCGGCTCCGTCTTCTGCCTCTGCCGTTGCCAACCGACCCAGAAGTCGGCCGCAAGGCATGCAAAACTCCCCTTCATCCTCCGTCACAACCGTCCCGCAGAGTCCGAAGAGCAAAAGAGATAATAATGATGTCGCCTTCACTGCCAATGGTAACATCATCCATGCTCCTGCTGCGTCCCCGCCGTCAGTCTTAATGTCACCCGTGACGCCCGGGGGAATCCTTCCACAAAATCGCGAAATTCTACCTCCCCGTCCTGGGGTACCGCCAAGCCCTCGCGTGTTTACCACAACACCTACCACGAATTTCAGCGCTACTCCTTTGACAAGTGAGTCAACGGCGTTCGTTCATGCAACTCAACCACTGCAGCAGTCACAGTCCTCCTCGCTTCCGTCTCCCGATCCAAGCAGTGCCTCCCATCCTAGCCCTGCTAGTGCTGGAGAGCGGAATGACCGAAGTTTGTCACATGGCGTTCTTTCATCTCCTCCGCCAGTCTCCGGGCCGATGCAGATACACGGACAACTGGAAAATCCTAGGCAAATTGGCTATCGCAATCTCATGCCCGCCAGCGCATCGCCGACCACAGCGGGCGGGGAGAGGATGGCCGAGGAAACTTCGGCGCCAGCCACCATTAGAGGCCAGCAGAGACACCAGGCGATTGCGAGTCCCCAGCAGTTCATAGCCCCGGCTCCCCCTGAAGCACAACAGCAGTCTCGACCATCGATGACCAGCGCTCCGCCCGATTCGAACCATGTTCCTCCCAGCCCCGTTGGCCCGGGTCCTTCGACTTCCTTCATCAACCAGACCTTTTGGACACAGTCGCAGGAGGCCCTGGATGCTTTCGTGGCAAGAGCGGATAGTGCCATGCTGCTCTCAGAGACAGTGGAACTGCCACGGACACGTCTTCTACGGGATGCCTGTATCGAAAAGGATCTATTCTACCTAACTCTCCATCAAATATACACCCTGCGCACCTTTGCTCCCTCGGAATTTGCTCGGTTACCGTACGTAAGCGGACAAAACGAGACGGGAATGCAAGTTGTGCAGCAGCTTCTAGTAGACAACCACCGTCTATCAGGCGACTTCTTGAGGTGGAGCGTTAATTTTCCTCGGCCGTTGGGTGTGATGTGTCAGACTCGCGAGTTCCCAATAGTTCTCCATCAAATCGCTCGTTCCCTGGGTTTCTTTTCTGAAAAGTGGACTGCTTTTGATCGCCATGTCCGAGAGCGCGGCTATCCCCCTTTGATTGATGAATTAGTCGTGCAATTTGGCATAACATCGTCCGTACTATTATCAATAGTATTCCTAGCCTTGTCCCGAAGGATTTTCGGCACACAGCATGAAGACCAGTTGCGGAGTATCTACAGCAAGAACAAGCGGAATTACGTGAAACGGTTCGGTTCCAGACGCACTCCGCAGCAGATTCACCGCGAGAACGAGCGTTTGATCCAGGCGTACAAGGCCCTTTCCCACGTCCAGACATCGCCAGTTGGTCAACATACTTCACCTGTGGCACGAGAGCATGCAGCTCAGCCCTTACCCCAGCGCTCAATGCAGTCCGTTGGGCCCACAGGGCAGATCACATATGTCGCAGTCCCAAGCCCTCAGATGCCGTCCGCGCAAGTACCTGTACATAGCTCTCAATCGCAGACCCAGCCAATTCCTGTTCACGCTCCTGGTGCCATGAATCGTCCCGCGCCGATGCTTCTGGATGGTCAGAGACCTCAGCATCCACTCCCTACACGGCCAAATCTTGTGCATCCCAGGGGGCTTGACATCTCCTCTCCAGTGCCAGTTGGGCAGATGACAGGCACGGCTGCTCATTCACCAGTGCCTGCACCTGCACCTGCACCTGCACCTGCACCTGCACCTGGTGGACATCAGGCGCAAATAGTATCGCACCCTCCTTCTCAGGATGTCCGCCAAATCCCACCACAGCCATCACCTCAGGCTATGTCAATCACCACTCCTGTTCATCGCTTTACTACTCAAACGCGGCAGGCGCAAGGACTGGTGCAGCAACCGCAGCAAAGCCCGCCGATACCACAACCGCTCCTTCCTCCACCGGGGCCCCTACCATCTACCACGACACGGCCTCACCCTCTCCGCCATGCCCTACATCAAGCACATCTCCGCGATCCCATTATCAAATGGACTTCTTCGGGAGCAGGAAGAGAAAACACAGACAAGGAGACGAATCTGTTCCATTACTTAAAATCGTTCGCGGTACCGCCGACTCTCTTGGGACAGACAGAGTCTGCTTTTAAATGGCAGTTTCCTCTTTCCCGAGCAGACTTTGACCGGCTTCCTCGAATCGTGCATCGCGATACTGGCCAGCGTCTAGTGCGATCCCTGGTTGATGGTAGTCTGATCTATCGTCTGCGGTGTATTCGCATTTCGCCGTCGGCAAATGTGGTGAGCCAGCATACTTGGTGTCTCACGGAATCTGTATGGCCCAGTGTTATTTACATCTTTGTGAACGGTGTAGAACTCTATGTTCGCCGCAAATTTCACAACGGCAAAGATATTCCTCTGGACATCAGTGGTCACCTAAAAGAAGGCTTGAATACTATCTCCCTGCATTTCCTCCGCAGCGCCGCGGAGAGCAGAGACGTAGTATATGCATTAGCGGTGGAGGTCATGGATATCCTCAGTTTCACTCAAGTGAAGAAGCTCGCTCAGGCCCTACCCGCACCCCAGTCTCGTGAGCGGTTTCGTCGACGTCTTTCCTCCAGCGCTGCCGACGATGAATTAAGTATTGTCAGTGACTACCTCGCTGTCAATCTAGTGGACCCGTTCATGGCTCGAATATTCAACATTCCTGCTCGCGGAATCACTTGCGAGCACGTGGAATGCTTTGATCTCGAGACATACATCTTGACCAGGGCTTCCAAGGCGGGTAAAGCTGTTTTGAAGGAGAATTGGAAATGCCCAATCTGCGGCGCAGACGCCCGTCCTCAACATTTGATCATCGATGGCTTTCTTAGTGAAGTCCGTGCCGATCTTGTACGCACGGGTTGTCTTGAGGGAGCAAGAGCAATAAAGATCAAAGCGGACGGATCTTGGGAGCTCAAGAGTGATGGGGACGGTACTTCATCTGAAAGGGAGCTTGCACGGGTACAGGAAAGCAGCTCATTGAAACGAAAACGTGAGGGCGTCGTTTTACCTCTCGCAACTCAGAGGCCGAAGACAGAAGGCGCTGGTCGAGAATCGCTAGCTTCTCGCGAATCCTCAGCATCTTTGGTCATCGAACTCGATTAGTCGGTGATTTGATGGGGCCGCTGACTCTACATACAACGGAGTTGATTGCTTTTGATTTCGGCATACCATCTGCACAGTGGTGCGTTTTGGTCGATGTTTTTGATTTGTTTTACAGCACAAGATACCCCGATTCCATGTTCTTGCGCAGAAATTAAATATATTTTTTATCGCCGTACTGTTACACTTTGCCTTTGCACGCTTCTGGAACCAAGTAGTCTTGACAACTGCCTTTGGAAACTGGGAGCGGAATCACATTCCATTACGCACCGGAGAAAGTTTCGGTATGAGAAACCAGAGAGATGGATATAATTTGTCATAAGGTGACATGTATAAGACAACCGCCTGCGATGGGTATAATAGTATCTGAAATGAAAAGCGCACCACAGTGCCCCTGCGGCCGTCCCATACCCACCCAGAGATTGCGTGCATCAGGGTATTCACCTTGATGGGGAGCCAGGTCCTGCTGGCTGCGGGCAGGCCATTGGGATCGAGCTGTGGCCAGCGACATGCATGAAAGCAACTCTTGATCCAACCCTCGTGAACCTAGTGCATCTTCGTTATTTCCTCCCAGCCCGACTGAAAATGTTCGAACTGCCTCGGAAGGGACGTTGAAGCAACCTCAGATGATAGATAGCCGCCTTGAAGCTCAAGACACAGCGCAATGACATGCAAAGATGATAATCAATTCCCTGGTGCGCGGCATTTCACCGTCGACAGGAAATTTTCGCAAGAATATTCAAGCCGCTCAGTCAAAGCTGTCAGGTAGCCGCTCGATGACATATTTGCCTCTGGCAACCTTCATGATCGGCACACCGGGTATCTTGCGGATGCGTCGCACAAGGTCCTTATCGTTCGTAGCGACGGTATAGATTCTGTGCTTCATGACCTATCACACCGAATCGAAAATTAGTAAAAGGCTTGCGAACCATGACACTCGGAAGCGGGAAAGAAGACTTACCCTGTCCACAATGCAGTCATCAGCATAGGTACCAGCGTGATCACAATGCAGCCTATTCCATCTCGGATCCTTTGCGACCCTCAGCGCCAGCCGAAACTTCGGGCCCAGCTTCTCCAACTCGGCAATGGTGCAGTCTGTGAAGGTCGGGATGCACTTGGCATAAAGCCTAGCCACTGTCAGTCTCGTTCGAGGGGCATTACGATGCAAAATCGCCAGCTAGCAAACGCGGTACTTACAGATCCATCATAGCAGGCAGCATATCCAGTTTTGCGCGGATTGTGTGCGAAACAAAGTTGGTATCCACCAGCACGGTGTAGGGAGGACCCAGGGCGGTGTTGGCGGCGAAGAACATGTTTGATGGAGCGACCGGGATGTGTCGGGTGACTTCTTCGCCTTGGGGCTTCTTCTCTTCTTTCTTGCCGTTCAGGGGCTGCTTGACGCGGTTGTCTCGCTGGCTGATGGCGCGTTTGACCTGTTGGTTCGTTGCTTGAGTTAGTATGGTGCTGGGTGCTGGGTGCTGGGTGTTGGTTTGTGGACTTGCCTGCGCGAACTTGCGAGTCTTCTTGGCGATACCCATTGTGGTTGATGATTTGGTGCAGATAAACGATTCTCGGGTTCAGACAAATATTTTGATCGGATAGAATTAAAGACGAGGTTAGGGCGTTGAAACTGTTCATGTGAAGTTGAGCATCTGGGATGCTTTCGAGAAAATCTTTGCGGGCCGATGTTTCGCCGTTCGATTGGCAGCAGTGGGTCTCTCGATATTATAGCAAGATTCGATACCTTTGGGGAAGACAGCAACAAATAGATCAATACTGGTAGACATCTTCTAATGATACAGATGAAAGTTTTAGGGACATTCTGTTGACTTGATTACTGTTTTATATGTTTTGGCTCGAATTTCTACTGTCGTACTGTCTCCCAGTGCCCCACCAACCAACTATATATTCACTATTCAAGCCACTACTCTCATGTCTTCATGGCAGCAAAACAAAATCATGGTCATGAGAACCCTGCAAATAATCATAATCCTCTCCCATCCAGTCCACGAATGGCTCTAGATCTCCCCACTCAATCTCACCTTTACAACTTTCCGGAAGTCTCATCTTCAGCTCGCTCCTATACCAGCGTGCAAACAACACAGTGACAAGCATAACCCGCGGCTCATCCGTCTGATTCGGCATTCCAGCATGCCACAACCTAAAGTCCCGAATGATTATGGACCCCTTGGGTAATAGAGGCTGCACCGGCGGACAGAGCTTGCGTCGCGCTTCCACCAGCTCCTTTCGAATCACTCCATCATTGTCAGGCATCAGCACCGACACATCAGTGTCAGTGTGCGTGCCAGGCCAGAGCTCAGTCGCGCCATTCGTAGTCGTCGTTTCTACCAGATTTACGTTCACGCAAAAGCCGAACGGAACTCGGGGAAAGTCAAACGCGACGTCGATATGCGGCGGCTGACGACCTGCCTCTCTGGTCCTGAAGGCCGTGTTTGCACTGAGGAATCGAAGCTGTGGCTCGGGCCCTAGCATGCACTCGATGATAGCGGTGGCGAAGGGGTTTGCGATGATCATCGATAAGGGATTGTGCGCCTTTCGTTCGCCATCCTCGGCATCGGGTATCTGCTCGCGAAAACGGTCAATGGCCTTTTGTACGGGGACTTCTTGCTGGATGTTCCCCGTTTCGGGCCCAAAGTTCCGGTGCGTAGATCTTTTCTCGTAGAGTGTGTAAGCGTCAGGAGTCATGAGAGTGTTGAGCTGGTCCAAGTAGGAAGGAGGAATTGCGTTTTGCACGATAACAACACCATCCTGGTGAAGAGCCTCGATGGCACGCTGAAGATTATGAGAATTGATTTGCCGGCTGCACATTTCAGTGTCAGTGAGGTGAATGCTGGTAATTTCTTTCGAGTGATGAGGCAATGGCATGGAGGCCATTTTGACGATGATCACAGGGCGTTGAGCGCATGATTTCGGACAAATGAAGCGTATTTAAATGAAATGGGGTTACATGCAGGGGTCGTAGATAGAGGAAAGTCCAGCCGATCAGAGGTGGCAGATGCGGAGATTCCAAGGCATGGACGGATGAATCTGGCTATTGATAACACCATTGATTAATGATATCATACACTTTAATTCGACGATGTCTATTTGGCGACTAAAAAGCCATCGGCACCCGAACTCGGGCGAAGACATACCCAACATTCATGAGGAAGTCAGTTTTCCATGGCGGATAGCATATGGCGAGGTTCCGACCTCGCCTTGAACAGAATAAGATTGGTATCTAGCGCTTTTCTCCCATGAGTCGACCGAGAGATAGTATCCAAAAGAGGCAAGAAAGAAAAAAACCCATATTATATGATATTACCTGTAGTTCTTCACTTCCTCACACGCCTTGCATGATTGACAAGGTTCTCTATCACGCCTTCAAATGCCTCCCTCTCACTGACTAGTCCATCTCGACGCTTCAGCCAGTATTCAAGGACAGAACTAGCCCGAAGCGTGACTTGCTCAAGTTCCTTGACATGCGTTTCCAACTCCGCGTCGGTCAACCCGTCTAATGCTGCATCGGTGGTGGCACACAGTCGCCGCACCGCCGACAAATCCAGCTCAGGTGGCGGAGACCGGTCACGGCGACGAGATGTTCGATGCCGAGCTGCCGGACCAGACGTTGTGGGGCTGTCAATACCGTCTTGTGAGCCGCTTTTCCTGGCCTGACTATGAGAGCGTGAGCGAACGGTAGATCCAGTAGTGTCTGAGCCGCTCAGATTGATAGATGGAAGCACGAGCTTCTTTTGCTTTGAAGCCGGTAGTATCTCATCCAGGTCAACGGGAACGCCCAAAGAAACCAAGAAAAGACGACGAATTCGAGACTTGACCCAGTTTTGCGGCTGCAATGGCGGCGGCGCGACGAGCTGAGACCAAAGTGACAGGGATCGCTCAGTACTGAAGATGGAGGAGACATCTTGGATCGGCTCTAGAGGAGGGAGCGATGAAACATTTTTGGAAGTGGGATAGAGTTTGTCGAGGTATTGATCCAGTGCGGCGTGGAGATCGGGAAAAGAGTGGAAGGTATCGAAATCTATTATGGGAGGCTGCAAATTTGAATTGATATTAGCATAAATATGCGCAAAAAGGGCTCGATTGATACTACAGCCATTTCTGACAAGTTTTCGTAGAGGACTACTCACAGCTAAAGGATGCGGGAGAGGCTGCTGAGGCTCAATCGGTTCGGGCTCAGCAGTCTCTCCATCCGGTTCTTGAAAGCCATCGTCAAAGTCACCAAAGTCATCATCTGCCAAATCTTGTTCTTCTGCAAAGTCGTCAAAGTCGTCCGCAGCTGCTCGATCCTGAGGAGTTTCGAGTTCCGCATTGTCTTCATAGTCAAAGTCGTCCTCAACATCACCTGAATCACGATTGAGGTTTTCACTCGTTAACGAGCCTCTTAGTGAGGTGTGATCTGGATGCGCGGAGCTATTTGTTGATAATGAATCGGGTAGATCTGAATTGGTCAATGGTCCCCCGAGACTCTCTGTGATGGGAAGATGATTCGAAGCATACCTGGTGCATCGGAAATCTTCTCTATCACATCTGGAGCGGCATCACTTGGGCGCCTCCTATGAGCCTGTAGGCTGGAAGTCGTGTCATCAATTGCCGTTGAATCTACTTGTGAGACCACTGTTGCAGGGACCTGCGTGCCGGTGACAGATTCAGGCTCGTTTGATTCGGCGTCATCCGCTGGTGAATCGATGTCCGGTTCTGGCGCTTTGATGACAAGGTCTGGTACTGCGTCCGCTCTACGCTTCTCATATGCAAGCGTCCCAGGGACGTCCCCATGGCTTGGTTGGTTTACATCGACCTTTTCAACAATTGTTCGAGGGATGGGCGACCCTCCGGGAGTCAATGGGCGGTTTTGCGACCCCACAGTGGACGAGCTCCTGCTACGTGACCCCGTCGGGATGATTTCAATTTCATCAGGGACAGCGTCTTGTTCCCTTTTTTCATATGCAGTTGTACCGGGAACTTCACCGTGTGCGGGTCGATCGTCCACCCTCTCAACTCGAGTCAACGGGATAGGGGATGTGCGACCGGACAATGGGCGGGAACGAGAGCGCTCGTGGCCTTCGCTGGCGTCTGAGAAATGTTCATCATCACTGTTGGGAACCGCTGAAAAAGCCACATCGACTATGTTAATTCAATTGCTACGCAGAAGCACGAGAGAGTTGGTAAAGCCCTTACCTGAGTCTTGAGCCCCCGAGTCTTCCAACTCAACACTCCTCCTCGGGGGCTCCAGATATGGACTGGACGGACGGGAGAGCCGCTCCGACATCTAAGATAACTCAATTTTTTCGGCAGTATTTCATATAGAACGGGTCGGTAGAGGCAAGAAGGATGTCTGAAGGAAGGGAATAATGGATATATAGGTGAGAAAGGGATGTCTTGCTTTGGGTGACGTTGTCATCAATGTGTAGTTGTTGTCGATGACCAGGTTCTATGGGAGTCTCGGCCATGTGCCTTAGGCACACCGAGAAGTACGTGCCTGATGGCCTGAGGTATCAACCCTGAAAGTTGCCTAGACGCCAGCCGCCAATAATACTAGGGTAGAAGCGCGCGTTTCCCTCCCCAAAGAAAGCATCTGGTACTCCAGCTAACAGCATCAAGCTTCTCCTCGTTACTTGCCATTGCTATTACTCCTGTTGCAATTGAGGAAAGCTTCTTCAATAACGATAGTCACCACATTCGCAATTTCTGCCTTGACAGGTCTTATTTTCTCCGGGCGCAGTAAGTTTCTCTCATTTTGATTTTTCCCTAGCACCCTCCATCATAACTGCTTTTCTTTGCGTCCCTTCTGACGGCCACCAGGGCAGCCCTGACAATTAACCCCGGCGAACGTTTCTCATCATGTCGAACACATTTTCTTTCGGTGCGCCAACCTCCAGCGGCGCCTCAAGCGGAGGTCTATTTGGAACTGCTGGCAACGCTTTTGGTTCCAATCAGAACAGCCCCAACACCACCACCGGAGGTGGTCTCTTTGGCAATGTAGGAGCTTCCTCTAGCGGCACTTCTACACCCTCATTATTCGGATCGGCACCTGCGGCGGGGAAATCTGGCAATACCCTGTTTGGTGGTGGTACCGGTTCTGCGAGCAGCGGCACACCTGCTGGAGGTACGCCTGCGTTTAGTTTTGGAACTCAAACCAAGTCTGGTAGCACACCTCAGTCACCGTCCTTGTTTGGCGGCGGATCGCAGACTCCCAAACCAGGAGAGTCTCCTGCTTCTGGGCAAACCGGCGGCAATGCTCTCTTTGGAAATGCCGCAAAGCCTACTGGGAATATATTCGGAGGCGCCGCAGCGACTCCTGCGCCATCCGGAGGCTCACTCTTCGGCAACACCTCTACCACACCTGCTGGCCCTCCGCCACAGGGAACCGCGGCCGGGCAGGGACAGTCGCTTTTCGGACAGGCACCTCAGAAACCAGGCGGTCTCTTCGGTGGACTAAACGCAACTACTACTTCCTCATCGACAGCCTCTCCCACAGCCACGACGGCGCCAGCGACGGGCGGGACGCCTACACTTTTTG